GCCTGGACCGACGCGCGACGCTCTCGATCAATAACACGGTGTACAGAGAGTTTCACGTGATAAATTCACGTACTCGCGTGATTACAATATTCCCTTTACCCCGGACGCCACCGACCGGGGAGTATAAATACGGGCCCTGCGGGACGGGCCAGGCAGATTCCCTCAGATTCTCTCAGTTTCATTTCGATTTCGAGAGCACCGCGAGTCGAGAAGGGACTTAGTCGCGAGACCGTTATCGTCCGAAAGGACTTAGCCGCGAGAGCGTTGTCGTCCGAAGGGACTTAGCCGCGAGAGCCTTGCGAGCTCGAGTGACATAGCCGCGAGAGTGTACAGATCGTGGTGCCTTCTCACGCGTCGTGCTGCCGGATACTCTGTAATAAACAAAACGCCATCAGCATTAATAAATACTCATTCTACCAGACATAAAGATTTATCCTTCTTTTATCTTACACTGATCTCTACCGGATACCCGTTGATGCGCGCCTCCCTCAGGGCGTTCTCAACCGATCCTTCCGTCAATGCGCGCCTCTCTCAGGGCGTTCTCTAAATTCCTCTGTTCCTTCTTTGTTCCTATAACATATATTAATCTAAATCAGCGAAAAAATATATATATATTAATTACGACTGCCTGCACGTTACCGTAAGGGTGCTTACACACACGCGTACTCCCAAGAACACACGTACAGACACACGCTTGCATGCGATTGATGGAGGAAGGAAGTTGAACCAAGTCACTATATGCTTATATAACGTACTCGGAGGTCATCAAGTTACCAAGGTAGGTACATTTTTTTCATCAATGGTGCGATCCAGACGATCGGGACGTGCTCATCAACTGAAAAGGCTACAACGAGCCTATTATTCCGGCGGCGATTTCGATCCGCGCGTGCTAAACACCGTTCCGCCACCGACAGTAAAAACCGATCCTCGCGTAGAATCACCGGTCGTTGCAAATCGGGAGCAATCGAGTGCCATGGTCCAAGAGCCACAGTTACCTAAGATAACGAAAATCGAGACGTTAACGCAAAAAATCCGCCTGATACTTAGAGAAGTCAGTACCAACCCAGTCAAAAATTAAAGAAGAAATGTATATATATATATAGTAGACTTACCGTCTCTCCTCGTTCATGTGAGGCACTCACACAATATCGCGAAGCTTTCAATTCACTCTTTCTCACTGATTAACCCACTCCGACGTCCGAACGATCGTCTGGACGTAACACCAGCTTTCAATAAAGTGACTCTTGTCTCGTTTTACACGAGCTATTGACTATTTTTTGTGCTCTCCTCGGCGCGGCGCGCGAAATCGAGCAATCCACTAACATTAAATAGTTCATCATAATTATTGATAAATTAAAGTCTTTTTGTTAAAGCTGAGAATACCTCGTTTTGCGTGAAAATTGCTACTTTACCAAAACACAACATTTAAAGCAGTAAATTGTTGATAAATTGAAGTCTTTTTGTTAAAGCAGAGAATATTTTATTTCGCGAGAAGTCGCTGCTTTACCAAAAAAAGAAATTACAGGACGAAATGATAATAATTACTATAATATTTATTCATTTATATTTTCTGTTAAAGGATACATAATGGACATTATTTCAAAAAAAGCATCTGATCGTGTATACCATAAAACTTAATATTACGTCTTTTTTTTAAGTAAAGGATATCTCGTTTCGCGTAAAAGTCGCTACTTTAATTTAAATAAAGTATTCTCTACTTCAGAAGAAAATTTACTTGTTTTGGTAAAGTAGCGATTTTCACGCGAAACGAGGTACTCTGTGCTTAAAAAAAAAGATGGATAATTAAGCAGTAAAGCAGCGACTTTCTCGCAAAATAAAGTATTTTCTGCTTTAACAAGAAGACTTCAATTTATCAACAATTTACTGTTTTAAATGTTGTGTTTTGATAAAGCAGCGACTTTCACGCGAAATAAAGTATTTTCTGCTTTAACAAGAAGACTTCAATTTATCAACAATTTACTGCTTTAAATGTTGTGTTTTAATAAAGCAGCGACTTTCTTGCGAAATAAAGTATTCTCTGCTTTAACAAAAATACTTCAATTTATCAACAATTTACTGCTTTAAATGTTGTGTTTTGGTAAAGCAGCGACTTTCTCGTGAAATAAAGTATTCTCTACTTAAAAAAAAAGACGTAATATTAGTCGTTTATGTCTCTCAGTACGTAAAATAACTGCTATATTTTTGACACTTTTTTTGTTAATAACTTTTTAACGAATAACGAGCGGCGGCTAAAACTTTCTGAAGGCCACTCAGGAGGGTGATCTTGACAACATATGTCAAGGTCAAGATCATCGAAGGGTGGTCCCTATTACTGCATAATTACCTAGTTCAACTTTATATTTCCATAATTGGTAATTATCGTTATCAAGTTTCGCGATGGAAATGCGTGTCGGTTTCCGCCATTGTCTATCACACTCGACCACGTTATCACTGAGCATGTTTTGAACATGGGCCCATAACCTGTTGAGAATTGAGCTATAATTTTGAATGTAAATCCCGAATACTTCCGACAACGAATACCTCACACAACACACGTGACTGGTATGACTACAATAATTACTAAAAAAATAAATGCAAGAATATATATTCTGATTAGTACAAGCCCGGAAGCACGTTTTCAGATACACTTCTGATGAGAGAGTGAGACGAGCGTCGGCGGTTTACGCCGAGAGCGAATTCGTGTACACGCGTTTATCACGTGCACGATTCTCGATTGTCTACTGTAAGATGTCACCATGTACACGATTTGTATTTCAATATGGTGTTCAAGTAATATTCAACAAATATTATTGTGCACTAAATATTTTTAACAAAAAGCAAATAAAGATGCTTTTAGATATGTTAAATATAAGTAAGAAGGAATCGTCGGGGAGAGCCAGGAGGTCACCAGTAATTTGTTTGATCAATGAGGTCAAGTACTATTAGTGTGATTACTACTTGGATAGGTGATTGCCCTCAGGAAATGAGTGTTTAAAAGATATACAGACATGTGTGTATCTTTTGTATATTCAGTTTCTGTAGTATTTTAGCTTTAGTTCCGATCTACCATAGGTGTTTTAAGCCCTAAAAAATTGATCAGTCATAGTCGAATGTGGGAAGGATACCTAATCGACTGTGATTGGAATTTTTTAGGGCTTATGTTGGATTTGAATGAAACTCATTTCGAGAGCTACTCGAGTCGCTTTTACGAATCTAAAGTCGATATTTTTGCATTAAAAATGTCAGATCTAATGTAGCTGACAAAATGTAAATATGGAAACAACATATTTTAACCCTTTAATGGCCAACTTTTTTTGCAAGAGTTAAACACACTCAACTTATGGTGGATTCAAGTTAGCAGGTATCAAATATGTAAAAAAGATTTTTCATAATTTTTCTACTCTTTAAACTAGCCGTACATGGGAGAGCCACACTTAAAACGTAAAAATGTTGTAATCTAATTTCCTGTTACTTTATCTGGATCTAAATTGTAAAAAAAACGTTCCAAAACATACAGGTATATTGTAAAAAATATACAGACCATTACTACCGTTATAAACCATCCTCACATTGAAGAAAACATCCCCGTTTAGAACGTTACAAGTTACAAGTCGAAAATCTGACTTCATTATTCTCAAATGAGAAAAAATTTTACTGACATGGAAACCATCTTCAAGCCATCCTGTTGAAGGTTAGCCACCCTCAAACCACCCTTTTGAAACAAATAATAAAATAACTATTCTAAACGCATAAAGGGTGTTTTTTGGCTTATTATCACTATCAGGGGTAATTTTTCTTGTAGCCCTTTTTTGTATATAATTTTGACTTTATTTCAAAACGTATACATGAACTAAAGGTAAACAAAAAAATTCTGCCTAAACGTGTTTATTTTCTATTTTCACGTAATTTTGGCACTTTTTGACAGGGTGTGTAGCTGAAGAGTTGCTATCCCTCAGGTTCAGCATTTTTTTGTATTTAGCCTACTTTACTCTTTAAAATAAGACCTTAATAAACTCGATGTGTTAATTTTTATGGAAAATGTGATTTTTTAAAAAAAGTGGGACATACGTATCCCACTGGCCATTAAAGGGTTAAATCAGCGATCTTAAAAATCCCTGAAATATGAGTTTTATTTAAATTCAAAATTTTACATTTTGTCCGTCATATTAATCCGCCATTTTAAATTTTGAAATTTTGATTATAGATTCATGATCAGCGGCCTTAAAAACCTTTAGTAAGACGTAATTAGATGCTAATTATTCCTTAAAAGAAAGTCAGGCATGAAAGAGTTAAAAAAGTTATGTTCATCATCAATACCTTTTTAATAATAATCGATACAAATTCCTTTTAAGGGCTGAAAATCTTAACAAAATACTTAATTGTAATTGCAATAAAACTTCTTCAACACGTCACATATCGTAGTTATGTCAAAGTACACTAGTCCAAAATACATTAGTCCATTTTTGCAACTTTAACTGCAAATTCCTCAAAATTGTGACGTAATAGAGCAATTTGACAAACGAGATTAGCATCCAAAACATACCGAAAACGAGTTTCGTTTTTGTGCTCGAAAAAAAGTAATTTTTATTGAAAAGGTCATGGGCTTATTTCTTAGTTATTAAGCGTTACATTGACCTATGTACTTAGCGTGTTATACTTTGAAAGGTGCTCTATTAGGTAAGATCAACGAAAAACACACTCAGGTGAACCTCTTTAAATTTGTTAGGGCATAAAACACCTATTGTAGACCAAGACTTATTCATACACAAAGATTCAGGTATATTCAGTCGTGTGTATCATTTTGTGTATGTATGGAATACACACGACTGAATATACTTATATTGAATCTCTGTATACAGATAAAGCCAAAATTCTATACAAATTGAATATATAAGATACACAAATTTCTGTATACCTTTGAATATCCATTTCCTTTAGGGTACGCAACGTAAAGAATATTTTATTTATTATATTATTCTGAATGAGATTAACAAACTTACGTATGCTCGATGATTGGTGGTGGTTTCACTATTTTTGTACGAATATTTTTCGGATCAGCTAAATCGGCAACGTATAGCTGTACGGAAGGATTTGGCGTTCCTGGCTAGTAAATAAAATACAAAGTTTCTAGAATAGTATTTCTTTCTTTTTGTTCATAAAACGTAAATAATATTTTTAAAAATCTAGCTTCAGTAAAAAATATTGCAATGACTGTTCGAATATATCGCGTACCTTAGGATATCGTAGGGATCGTATATCAGGATATAAAGCTTTGTTTCCCTCTCCAAACCACGAAATGTGCATCTCTTCTACGAGAGAATCATTGAACGAGGCATAAAGCATCACATGACCATCCGGCGACATCCAAATTGCCTCTCCACTGTGCAATATTTCCTCTATAAATAATAATTAAGCAATAATAATAAATAACTGTTTTAGTTTTGTTTTATTAAAAATCGTGTATTATTGTTAATTACGTAACATTGTCTCTCAATTTTAAAACGTGATCTTCGGATCTCGGACCCGATAGGAACGTGACCTCGAGATCTTAATTAGTTATATCTTTTATTACAGCTTAACTCTTCCTCTCCCCCAAACCGTATGAAAGTTAAGCAAGAAGTGTTAATAAAAAATTGATAGCTAAATATTTTACCTTCATATAACCAATCTGGTACGCCGTTGGACAATATACCGGGCACTGCAGTGTTCGTTACACGATATGCAGTATTGCTTAGGGGACCTGTTCTGTAATAAATATCGTAGTCCTGCACCATGACGAGTCCGTGTCCACTTGGAGTCCATTGGGCTAGTAAAAGATATGGATGGTTGTCTTTCTCAGGATAAGGTGTTAACACAATGCACTCCCTGTAAAATCGTTCGTAAAGTTCCTACATTAACCCCGCTGTTAACAAATGATGTGTTATCGATGCTCCATAAATTACACTGACCGTGTATTAAGATCATAAATGACATATTGTGCTAAGTACGAGTGGCGAAACAGTTTCTTCACATTTTGAGCAAGAAGCAAGAATTTTTGATCCGGCGATAAAGAGAATTTTGCTGGGTTTAATCGTCTCTGTATAAAAAAAGGTATTAACGTTTATTATCCTGATGATGAACTGAAAATAATATAACAGAATTTATTTCTACGACATTTTCAGACTTACGAATGTCTCATTCGTAAGTCTGAAAAACTTACAAATGTCTCATTTGGCATCAAACTGTGCGATGCGATATTCGAAACGTTTAACAAGGAGATGCCACCCCAGATGTCTCGATAACATATATGGCGATTACTCGCCCAGGATCCATTGAATAATAAAGGAGATAATTCACCGGAGAGTACCTGAAAGATAGAAATACATCTCTTTGAATTAGATATACTTATTTTGTAATTTAAGGGGTCATGCCTAGTCAGGAAGCCGAAAAATAGGTGATTTTTGAGAATTTTTTTGTATAAACTATAAGACTTGTTTAAAATTGGGTTGGTCTATGTGAGAGAATATATTTTTATAAATGTAACATAATTTTTTTAATAAAAAATATTAATAATTAAAAAAGATAGTGACTGAACGAAGGATTTTTTTTTAGATGCATTGTTATTTTTCTTGACGAAAAACAAGCGATATTTTTATCGAAAACCGAAACTTTAACTTTAAACGTCCGCCATTTTGTCCCAAATCAATATTTCGAAAAACTGTTCGTTCACTCACTACCCTTATAAAAATGTGCCCTTGAGTGCTCAATGGCGGTCAGTGGGAATGTATGGTTGCCCTACAGTTGCAATGCGAATTATATGGAAAAGTTAATGGAAAATATTGAGTGGCAATAAGATGAATGGAAACGCAATGGCAAGATTCGAATGGCAACTTTTTCCATACAGGCGTAATGGAAACTGCTAATGGCTTATGAAGGTTAAAACTTGTGTATGGAACTTGCAATGCGAATTATATGGAAAAGTTAATGGAAAATATTGAGTGGCAATAAGATGAATGGAAACACAATGGCTGTTAGAGCATGATGTGCCGATTCGAATGTTGCGCGGTGGTTTTACCGATCGCGGGCAACGCCACTAGCGAACTTAGGCGAGCGAGTAGCAGGTAGAGAGTCCGAGCGCGCGGACCGGCGACACACCCCGCGAGAGAGGGACAGAACGTTCAAGAACATCGAGCGTAACGGTCATAAAGCGACAATCGCGAACAGTTTTGTACAAGTTATATTAATCAGTAAAGGCGAAGATCAAGCTAGCGACGAGTTCTCTTTGCCCCTACGTAACTCCTCCATTCGAACGTGTCGGGTGGAACATTATGGTCCTTCGAGCCGGATAGCAATCCGGATACGGCAGTACGAGCATACGAACGAGAGTTGGTCGAAACGATCCCAGCTAGCGTAGCGCACGCGGAAGGCGTGCATCCATTGCGGAAGGAAGGGAGAGTAAAGCAGAGGCCTCCCTGTACAGCACAAACGTACTCGCGCTATTGCAACGGATAGCTGAGGTGGTATAGTTTTAGTTTACGCATTTATATAGAAGTAGGGTTATCTCGCTTTTGTCTGCTTAGAGTCCGAGAACCACGCGCGACGACAGCAGAGAAAGCAGCGTAGCCATTTTGTTCATTGTTGCCGAGATTCTACGTTGAACTTCGAGACCTTCGAGGCCCATACAAGTCAACATGCCTGAAGGTTTGGAGACGTTAAGGCGTCAGCGCGGAACGTGCAAGGCGCGTCTCACACATTTTGAGACGTTCATAACCGGGTTTAGCGAAAGTGGCGAACCGGTAGAAGCTTTAAAAGCGAAAATCAAATTCGTACAAAATTCATGGTCTCAGTTTGATAGAGTGCAATCGCAAATCGAAACGTTAGACGGGGATGATGCGGAGCGTCCGGTCATCGAGGATCGATACTGTCTCCTTCTTGGTCGTGCTCGTGCCCTCGTAAATACATTGACCCGCCCTGCAGGGGCAAATCGCGAACATGCAGATGTTGGTAACGCAAATAACGGTATTAAAGTCAAGCTGCCAGCGATAAACCTTCCGGTGTTCGACGGAAATCCGGAAAAATGGCTAGAGTTTCGAGACAGCTTTCAAGGGCTCATAGATGGTAATTGCGAGCTAACAAACATTCAGCGTATGTATTATCTTAGATCATCTCTGAAAGACCGAGCCGCAGAAGTTATTCAGTCTTTAGAGTCCTCCGCGGAAAATTACCCGATCGCTTGGAATCTCTTGACGAAAAGGTTTGAAGATAAACGCGCTATTGCCAGCAGGCATTTGCAATTATTGTTGGATGTTTCGGTCATGCAAAAGGAATCGGGAAACCAATTGAGACAAACTCTCGACGGTATTCTTCGTCATATTCGGGCATTAGAGTCGCTCCGAGCAAATACCTGGGATACAATTATTAATCACTTAATGATCGCAAAGTTTGATTCCGCCACTCGCCGTAAGTGGAGATCCCACATAAAAGATAAGGAAGATATCACGGTTGCCAGCTTGACTGAATTTCTCGAGGAGAGATGCTCCATAATCGAGCCTGAAACAAGCAGATCAGTTTCGGGAAAGCCACAGAGAAACAAATCGATGTCGCAGCAAAGGAAAGTCGACGGTTCAACCGCCTTCGCGAGCACGAGCAAGGAGAATCGATCAATGCGTAAATGTACATTTTGCGACGAGGAATCACACATGATGTACGCGTGCAATAAGTTCAAGGACTTAACCGTTCTTCAGAGAATATCCGCGGTAAACGAACGAAAACTCTGCCGCAATTGTTTGCGTCCTAATCACTTCGCGCAAGATTGTCAATCGTCTGCATGCAAGAATTGCAATGCTAAGCATAACACGTTATTACATCCGAGCAACCATGCCGAAAAGGTGGTAAATTCAGAAATCGCGAATGCGAGTAGCGTTAGCGTTGGGAACGCAAGGCAACAAGATTCGAGCGTTAATTGTAATAGCGTCAGTTTCCCGGTGCAATCTAGAGTGCTGTTGTCTACGGCCCGCGTATGGATCACGATGCTTCTGGTAACGCGCATGAATGTCGGGTATTGCTTGACTCGGCATCGCAATCCAACTTTTTGACGAAGGAATATTGTGATCTATTGCAACTTTCGACGCACCAGTATAATTGCTCAGTAGGAGCCCTGGCCTCATCAATTAATCTCACGGAATGCGCATCTACGGTAATTCAGTCTCGACATACCGCGTATCGAGCCAAGGTTCAATTCCTAATAGTAAAACAAATAATAGAACAATTGCCGCTCTCAAAGATAGCTGTAGATCAGTTGCGAATTCCTCCGAATATCAAGCTCGCCGATGAGAGATTCTACATTCCCGATAGAGTCGATGCGATATTAGGCGCGAGCGTGTTTTGGGAGTTGTTATGCATCGGACAAATCAAGCTTGGTAAATCCTTACCGATCTTACAGAAAACGCATCTGGGATGGGTCGTGTCGAGAGACGTTGCGTTAGGCGATCCACCAAGGTTTTATATTTGTTGCTTCTCATCGGAGGCTACGCTTCATAATCAAATCGAGAAATTTTGGAAGATCGAGGAGGTTGAGCATAAAGCCGTTATGTCGAGCGATGACGAGATTTGCGAGCGTCATTTCATGAAGACTCATTGGCAGGACGATACCGGGCGTTTCACCGTGAGCCTTCCTTTCAAAGGCAATCCCAGCGAATTGGGAGAATCCCGCAGCTATGCTTTGAAGTTGTTTTACAAGCTGAAACGAAGGTTAGAAAAGAATGCGAAGCTTCGAGAGGACTACGTGAAATTTATGAACGAATGCATCGAGTTCAATCACATGTCCGTCATCAATTCTGAGCAAGAGGAGCCTGTTGCGGTGTATTATATTCCGCATCATCCGGTCGTTACCCACGAAGGGGGTAAGCTACGCGTGGTGTTCAATGCTTCGGCGAAGACTTCCTCAGGGAAATCGTTGAACGACATACTTCGAGTGGGTCCTAACATCCAGCAAACTTTATTCGCAATCGCATTGCGTTTTCAACAGCATCTGTACGTCATAACGGCGGATATTGTAAAAATGTATTGCCAAGTAAACCTCCAGGAGGATCAAAGGCATCTTCAACGCATCCTATGGAAACCTAGCATCGACGGGCCCATTCTGGATCATCTACTTCTCATGATAATTTATGGCAACGCAGCGTCGGCGTTTCAGGCCATACGGTCGTTACATCAAGCCGCCCACAACGCACGCAAATCTTACCCGGCTGCGAGCCAAATCATCATTCGAGACTTCTACGTTGACGATCTGTTGACCGGTTGCAATGATCTCGATGAGCTGCGAGCGCTCAAGGATGAACTCATATCGGTATTGAGAGCAGCATGTTTCGAGTTATCCAAGTGGAAATCTAACGAGCCAACTTTAGTTGAGGAAGGCGCCGAAGATTTTACTATAATTGCAGAGGAAGGCCATCAAGCCAAAACCCTTGGCCTTGGTTGAACACCAAGTAAAGACACGTTCCAATATCGTGTTACCGCACACAATACGAATTCTCGCGTGACGAAACGCATAATGCTGTCGACCGTATCTCAAATATTCGATCCCCTGGGACTTGTCGGTCCAGCTATCCATCAAGGCTAAAATTCTACTACAAAAATTGTGGCAACTCAACTTGGAGTAGGATGAATCGTTGCCAATCAACCTGCACACCGAATGGACCACGTACGTCCAGGAGTTAAGCTCCATCAATGACATCTCCATACCTCGAGTGATCATCTGCAAGGATCCGGTTCACATAGAGCTCCACGGTTTCTCGGATGCTTCGGAAAGCGCGTATGGAGCGTGTATATATCTACGCTCAGTTGATGCCACGGGAAATGTTACTATTCGATTAGTGTGTGCGAAGTCCAAAGTCGCCCCACTAAAGACGCTGTGTATTGCGCGTCTCGAGTTATTAGCAGCACTCTTACTCTCGAAATTAGCTTATTCAACGACTCAAGCACTTACGATAACGCTTCCTGATCGATTTTACTGGTGTGATTCGGAAATAGTTTTAGCCTGGATTCATGGCGAGCCTCACATCAGGAAGGCCTTTGTGGCGAATCGACTAACCGAGATTCACCAATTAACTTCGCAAGAGCAATGGAGACACGTCAGATCTGAGGACAACCCCGCAGATGTGATCTCGCGCGGAATCAGACCTAGTCAGTTGAAGGACTTACGCCTTTGGTGGCACGGACCCCAATGGCTACAGCATCCCGAGGATCAAATTAACCTGCCTACTCCGAAACCTAATGGCGAGGTTCCCGAAACCAAGAAATCTACCGTTTTGGCCACTCAAGTCATCGAAACGAATGACATCCTCAAGAAGTTTTCATCTTTGTCGAAGCTTAAAAGAGTCATCGCCTATTGTTTGCGATGGAAGGAGCGTCCAAAACCTTCGCAGACTCAGCAAATGAGGCCATTCTCCGCATGGTACAAGCGGAGCGTTTTGGTCGAGAAGTTCTCGAATTACCGGCTGAGCAGAGAGTCAGGCACGATAGTGCACTCATTACGCTGCACCCATTCTTGGATAGCGACAACCTTATTCGAGTTGGTGGACGCCTGCGTAACGCCCCGGTATTCACGTCGATACCCCGTCGTTTTACCGTCCAATCATCCCGTTACTACTCTTATCATTCGCGATGCGCATTATAAGTCGTTGCATGCCGGTGCACAAGCGTTGTTGTCGAATTTACAGGAGTCCTTTTGGATTCTATCCGCCAAATCTGCAGTTCGTAAAGTTCTCCATAAATGCATCGTTTGCTTTCGATCTCGACCCGTATCTGCTCGGCATGTCATGGGGGATTTGCCAGAGAGTCGCGTGACTCCCAAGCGTGCGTTCTTCAACGTCGGGATTGATTACGCAGGCCCATTTATCATTAAACTTAGTCGTAATAAAACATGTAAAGCGTATTTATGTTTATTCGTTTGTATGAGCACACGAACCATACATTTGGAACTAGTTCCCGACTTGACCACTTCCGCCTTTCTTAATGCTCTAAAGCGGTTCATAGCGAGGTGAGGCAAGTGTGCGAACATTTATTCGGATAATGGTAGCAACTTTAAGGGTGCGAATCACGAGTTACACGCGTTATACGAGCTAGTGTCGCAACAATCTCATATATCGGCGATCGATCATTACTCTGAACAAGCCATACAATGGCACTTTATTCCGCCGTATTCCCCTCACATGGGTGGCCTATGAGAGGCGGGTATTAAATCTGTCAAAACGCATTTGCGCAAAATTTTAAGCAAAGCGTTGTTAACTTACGAAGAAATGTACACCGTGTGCACTCAGGTTGAAGCCGTGCTTAACTCCCGTCCATTAACGCCGATCTCTAATGACCCCACCGATCTCACTGCCTTGACCCCTGGTCATTTCTTAATCGGTGAGGCACTCACAAGCATTCCGGAGCCAAATTGGTCTGAGGTGCCATCCAATCGACTTACTCGGTTTCAATACGTTGCAAAATTGACCCAACATTTTTGGTCAAGATGGTCGAATGAGTATTTATCGAACCTTCAGCAGAGGTGCAAATGGAATCGCGAGGATCAAGCGTCGAAGATTGAGATTGGAGCGATGGTTGTCTTACGCGACGAGCAAGCGTCACCCATGCGTTGGGCGTTAGGGAGGATAGTGGAGTGCCACTCCGGTCATGACGGAATAACGCAAGTTGTCAGTGTAAAGACTTCTAAGGGAGTCACAAAACGCGCTCTGTCGAAGATATGTTTGTTACCCATCGAGGTCTAATTTTAAGTTTAAGATATAACTAATGCGAATAATACTACGCGCTTATAATTAGTTTTGTTGTGCAAGGTCACGTGGTTTATCCATTGTATTTAATACCAAAGAGCATTGTTTTCTCATTTATATATGAATATTCTTTTGAAAGCCCAGTCTTTCAAGGCGGGCGACATGTTAAAGCATGATGTGCCGATTCGAATGTTGCGCGGTGGTTTTACCGATCGCGGGCAACGCCACTAGCGAACCTAGGTGAGCGAGTAGCAGGTAGAGAGTCCGAGCGCGCGGACCGGCGACACACCCCGCGAGAGAGGGACAGAACGTTCAAGAACATCGAGCGTACGGTCATAAAGCGACAATCGCGAACAGTTTTATACAAGTTATATTAATCAGTAAAGGCGAAGATCAAGCTAGCGACGAGTTTTCTTTGCCCCTACGTAACTCCTCCATTCGAACGTGTCGGGTGGAACAATGGCAAGATTCGAATGACAACCTTTTCCATACAGGCGTAATGGAAACTGCCAATGACTCATGAAGGATAAAATTTGTATGGAATTTTTCTACCTTCAGCTAATTTGTTTAGTGTGAATTGTAATGGAAATTCGTCAATGGTAAATGTGGCGGTTCGCGCCACCAGTGGTACATGCATCATCATCACGCCCGCGCGGTAACTGTATTACCGGCAGTTCGCATCGACGGCGCTAGGCGTCACATCGTTCATGCATTCTCTCAAATTCAAGGTTCGGGACGGACTGGTATATGTATGAGACCCCCTACGGGACACCGAGGCAGATATTTTCAGGCGCTAGTCGCCTAAGGCAAGAGCTCCTGTTAGATTGTCCGTTGAACCAAAGGCAATGGGAAATGAAGGCATGTATATTAAAGACAAAATAGTACCATTTATTAAAATGCCATTGAATTCTTATTGTTTCAGACGCAAAGGAAATAAAGGCATTTTTGCTAAAGATAAAAATTTCCACACAAAATCCCATTAGTATTGCCAGTGTTAATACCAATGGCAATGCTAATGGCAATACCAATGGCAATACCAACGGCAAAACCAGTGGCAATACCAATAGCAATACCAATGGGATTTTGTGTGGAACTTTTTATCTTTGGCAAAAATGCCTTCATTTCCATTGCGTCTGGAACAATGGGAATTCAATGGCATTTTTTAATAGCAATGAAGGGCACATTTTTATAAGGGTAGGTACTGTAATATATTAAATAAATTTTTTTGCATTTTTTATTTCAGATGATCCAGATCTGAGCAGCAGTGGTTACCGCAAAACCAGTTTTTTAACAGGGCCCTCAGGAGGATGGCCGTCTTTTTTAATTATTAATATTTTTTATTAAAAACATTATGTTACATTCATAAAAATATATTCTCTCACATAGACCAACCCAATTTTAAACAAGTCTTATAGTTTATGCAAAAAAATCTCAAAAATCACTTATTTTTTGGCTTCCTGACTAGGCATGACCCCTTAAAAAAAAAGTGCCAAGTTAGGTAAATATAAAAAGACATTTATATCACACGTGCGTGGAAAGTGGCCCATTACGCGCGCGCCATCTGTGTGATAAATAGCCAATTCCATACACGAGTCAAAACAGTGCGGTAATGTTTACATTACTGCACAGTTTCGAAGAAACAGTGCGGTAATGTTACATTACCGCACTGTTTTGACTCGTGTATGGAATCGGCCATCCGTCGCACAGATGACGCGCGCGCAATAATGGGCCATTTTCCACGCACTTTGTAATATAAAATAGGGTGTGTAACACGTGCGGGATGAGAATTGGACACTCGTGCGGGTGTCTCTCGCCTTCGGCTCGTGCGTCCACTCCGCACTCGTGTCCAATTCTCAACTTCCCGCACTTGTTACACAAATAACTATTCCATCTGTAAATAGGGTAGGTAGTCCATCAATGAACCAGTTGTACACTATAAACCATTGCAATATTTCATAAACGTAATGTTGCTAGATTGTGCTTGTTGTCATGCAACGACTCGCATTTGAACCCCTCTTCGGCTCCCCAATCGGCCGGCAAATCGCGCGAAGGACGGCCGTTTGAGACTACATTTTGTGATTTTTGGGTGACAAACTAAGTTTTTTTTCGTAAGTTTTACATATTTTTCATGTTTTTGTTGTTATATCTATTAATTTTTTCATTATTTTATAATTGTGTATTGGCTTTATAATTTTGTAAGCAACTTTCTTATATTGCATTATTTTACCGTATTTTTTGAAAATTACCATAAAAAATGGTCTACAATAAACCATTTTGTTTTTTAATACAGTTATCTGTGTATAAGTTTGATTAAACTGACTAGTTATTACAACAAATAATAATCTAATTGTAAGATAAAAACAAATAAAATAATTAAATATAATGTTAATAATCAATTATAATACAGTCTAATACAGCTAAATGCGACACTACCCATCTTCTAATTATTAAACATTATTATTTATAAATATCTTTATTCTGTAAAGAGTTAAAGAAAGAGTTAAAGAAAGAGTAAAAGAAATATTAGGAAACAAATAAATTCTATAAAAGGAACGAAAAAATGGATTTCTGTAAAAACAAAATTAGGATGACAATTAAAAATAATTGAACATAAAAATGTTTATCAGAAAATGTAAAAATAATGTTGTATTTAGCTGTATTGGATAAGAGTAAGAGAACTGAATATGAGGTAAGAATATATAAAAATTCAATAAGTTTTTTACACTAATAGATATAAAAATTGCACGAATAATTCTGTAGATATACAAAGTAAATGTAAAGTTACATAAATACTCTAATTTTACAAAATTTATGTAGATTTGTCTTTCATTGTGTAAATATATCTCACTTTCTATCGAAAATTACATTAATGATAAAATATGAAAAATGTGTATATAAATGTATAAATAACAGATAAGAGAAAATGCTTAAAATGATTTTTGAATTGATTGATTGAAAGTAAAACTGTTAAAAGATCAAAAACCAGGCAACGGAAAACATATGTATTCGTAAAAAGCAAAATCTTTAAAAAATGAATTTGTTAATATCCTGTTGGTAAAACTATAATAATTTATTATCAAGACTTACCAATTCATCGATCTTTGCTTGAAACGGGAGGCGGGGAGATAGTGTCGTATGTGTGTGTGTGTGTGTGTGTGTATATATATGTTTATAAAGGGGTACTTATGAGGTCCGAGTGTACATATTTGAAATCAAGCATACAAAGATCTACATTTCAATTTAATGGTAAACAATACTATTGAAATCACTATGTATATCGTAGAAAAGAAAATATTATGGATTTTTGGTTATTTATATGAATCGGTCAATACCGGGACCACCGTGACCGGGACATTCGTTATTTATAGATCGATACATATTGGGACCAAATTTTTCTACACACATTTTAGGAGGATAGGAGAATTGAATTTTTTTTTCACGATTTTCTAATATTTTACATACCCGAAAAAAGAAGATTATATATAATTATATATAACATCATATATGTACGGAAATTTTGCTTTTTATATATAACGCTACATGAAATTTATAATCATATATATATTTATATATAATTAATCTTTTTTCCCGGGTCAAGTTAGGTGAAGTCAAAATTGTTGGAGTCATCAATTAATTAAAACAGAAAGTCCTCTGTCAGAACGGAAGGTGACTGAATGTTCTATCAACATAAGGGGTGCATTCGGGGAGCACGCTATTAGCACAATTATCGTCTAAAACTGTTCGAGGAGACGCTTTGTGGCGCTGTGATATACGATGATGACGTCACTGTAAAGGCAGCGTGACGTCATCACTCGCGCTATTTTCGCTATTATTTTCGAGGTGAGGCACGAAATACTATTGGCGCTTAAGCTGCGTTCGGGGAGCTTGCTATCGCTGTCGCGCTATTGGCTCTTCGAACGAAGTTCATAGCGTTTGCGTTTATAGCGTTAATAGCGTCTCCCCGAATGCACCCAAGGTTCATCTCGCATTGCCTTGGATCCCTTCTCTACCTCCCTAAAACCCTCCCTCTCTCCCTCCCTCTCTCCTTTTATATTGAAGGAGGATCTACTGTGATAAATGGTAGTAACTTTTACGTTAAAAAGGGCGCAATACGTAATTCTATGTAATTATTGTTGAATAATATATGATTTACGCAACAACAACCGCGTCGGGTCTCAATAGCTGTCTTGTTTTCTGTCTTATTTATTAGTACAGAACCTCAATTTATCTTCAAATATCAAAGAATAGCAAGTATAAATCACGCAATCACTATTTACAATGTTGTAACTTTAGTAACAATTGCTTTAAACACAGAATAATATTTTAACCGAATGGTCCCAAGATGTACCGCTTGTCGTCCGAAACAGGCCTCGTATATACCTTTACGAGAAACAGTATTGTATTTTAATCAATACAGTACATAAACTGAAGAAGTTTTTCAATTTTTGTCGATTACCGTCGATTCCAA